AAGCTTGGGCACCACGATAGCGTCAAACAGGCGAATCTTCTGAGATTTGCTGATGCCGGCGTGGTTCCAGCATGTGTGCAGCAATCTGAATATGCCCCTAGCTTCCCCCAGCCGTCTTGTAACCTCCAACTTGCTCTCTGCAGCGTTGTGCAACATTTCATCCAAAGCTATTGCTTATTGACGACTTTTAATTTGCTGCGTAGACGGGTCTCGCACCACCTCCTCATTGTTTTCTGTCATTGCAGCGGTGTTCCCCACATTTTTATCGAGGCCGTATTGCCTCCCCACACCAATCGTGAGATCCAAATACTATGTAGTTTCAGAGGGCGCTTGCTTACGAGCATCGTATCGCTGGCGTATAGTTAGAATGTCATTGCACACCAAATCGGCTGGTTCTTTGACATCCACGGACATGGCGCGGTACACGTTGTCAACGCCGAAGAACATCACAGTTTGCATGATAATGAAAAGACATGGAGACAGAGGGCACTTTTGAGCTATACCTGCAAGTTGTTGCCTCATTGTAGAGTCCCTGGCTGGATCTTTCAATACAAAGCGGCGCGTTCTGTAGATTGAAGTTATGAGTGATAGCAAGGGCTGCAGAATGCCAAACCTCGCCAACGTCTTGATCAGCGCGTCGTGCTTGATCCTGTCAAAAGCCTTGGACCAATCGAGTAGCACAGCGATCAAACCAGGCTCCTTCGTGCATTGGGCGGCGTCTATCATGCGGCGGGCAATTGAAAGTGCATCAATCGTGCTGCGACGCGGTCTGAAACCGAACTGTGTTGGTCGTAATATGTCTTTTGCTTCTCCTCGCTCCAATCGTTTTTGGATCATCCAGGCCAGCACCTTGTAGCCCACTGGTAGAAGGGATATTGACCGGTCATTTTCTGGTACATTCGCGTCCCTTTTCTCAAGCAGCAGCACCATTGTTGCAATTCGCCACGAATATGGTATATTTTGTTTTGCCAACATATTTGGCAAGTTTCCAACATATTCTTACATGCAGTAGTCGAGAGACGAAGTAGTTTCCACAATTGTTGACGCTCGTTCCCACCAGCCCATCCAGAAACGATGCCCAGGGGAGTTGAGGTGATCAGGGAAGTCGGGGAGCATGCAGAATAACAAAGGGCGGGGGAAGCTGTCACGTACCCCAAGAGGGGGAGGATGGAGAAGGAATCCTCGTCGGAGGGGGAGGGGGAGGGAGGAGGAGGAGGAGGAGGAGGAGGAGGAGAATGAGGAGGAGGATGTGGAGTAGGGAGAGGACGAGGAGGACGAGAAGGAGGAGAAGGAGCAGAGGGAGGAGAAGGAGGAGAAGGAGGAGAAGGAGGAGGAGGAAGAGGGGGATGAGAAATTGAAGAGGACGGCGAACCGAAGAGCCAGAAGCGTCTTAAATGCATTTCGGAGATCCTCTTGAGGCTTCTTGGGGGTCTCTTGGGAGCCTCTTGGAGGCCTCTTGGGCGCCTCTTGGGGCCGTCTGGGCGCCTCTTGGGGCGCTCTTGGGGGCTGTAGGGGCGCTCTTGGGGCCATCTTGGAGGAGATCGATCAACGAAGGGGGGTTCCCTAATTAGCCTCCCCCCTCAGGAGCTCCAAACATCGCCTCTTGGGGCGCTCTTGGGGCGCTCTTGGAGCGCTCTTGGGCGCTCTTGGGGCCGTCTTGGGGCTCTCTTGGGCCTCTTGTGGGGCCCTCTTGGGCCATCTTGGAGCCATCTTGAGGCCTTGGATGGCCATCGGAAGCGAAACGGGGAGAAAGCAAAACACATTGATTTTCTTCAGGTTTGGTGACGATTTTGGCCTCTTCGGGGCCTCCTTGGGGAGCTCTTTGGCCACAAGGAGCCGTCTTGGGGCCGTCTTTGGGCCTCTTGGAACCATCTGAGGAGCCATCTCGAGCGATCTTGCGCTATCTTGAGCCATCTTGGAGCTCATCTTGGGCTCTCTGACGCGCTCGTGAAGCCATCTTGGGGCCAAAAGAGCCGTCCGACCGCTCGCGAAACCCTCCGTCCAGGTCCAGGGGAGGGGGTAGGGGGAGGGGTAAACCCCTCCCCAAGGGGGAAGAGGGAGGGGTGGAAGAGGATCTGCTCTAGACCACCTACGCCCAGAGGGCTGGTGGGATTCAGGGGCTATCCCGTCGTGTCCTGCCGCTTTGCCAACAGCAAGGGCCTTCAGTGCTTCGGTCAGCTTGCCAATGGTGAAATTATTGGTGTTCACGGGTAGCTGCTCTCCCATCTGTGTATTGCCCTCTGGGTGTATACCGGCGTATTTGATACCCCATTGCTCATTTTCGAACTAATCTGCTAATGTATTTGCACGTTGGTCGCTGTCGACTGGCTGCCCCGATGTTTTTGTGATGCCACTGGGAGTCTTGGCAGGTGTCTTCCTGAGTGCTTTGACTGCAGCCCACGGCCCACGGCCCTCCAGCAAGTTGTGCATCAAACCATTTGCGTTTGTCTTGCCGCATGCTTTTCTTGATCGCCTTGCTGAGTTGATGCTCTCCCTCTTTGTCTCCGTTCCCTCGCGCGTCGTCTCTGTCCTGGAGTAGTGCCAGCGTGCGCGAAGAAATCCATTTTCGTTGGGGGCCTCGAACAGGTACCGCTGCAACTTGTGATGCTTCAAGCATTGCCCCTGCCAGGGCGTCCGCATGACCCTCCAGAGAAAATGTATTTGCGTCGCGTTGGAGTGCAGCGCCAAAGCTACCACAAGACTCTTTCCCAATACCGGGTGCGGACCGTAGCGTTTTCAAACAAGGTCGTTGCGTGGTAGTTGTGGGCCGCTGCTTCCCAAACTGCACGTCTAGCAACATTGTCAGCAAGAAATGGCGCGTTGGTAGTGTAGCCTTTCTGTTTGTCCTGACGTCCTCAATGATTGGAAGAGCGTCGGCATCCACCAAACAACAATCCAGTTGTGCAAAATCTGCGTTCGTGATGTTGCTGGCTGGCCCAACGCCTGGGGCAGGGGCATAATACGACACCAGATGTTCGACTGGGTGTTTGAAGCACGTATTCGCAATCATCGATTGGTTTTCTCGGCATGTCTCAATCAGCAGCTCCCTGTTTGAATTAGGGGTCGCATTAAAAACATATTCCCGCATGACATCCTCTTCTCCAGTCGCCGTTCCCCCAATCTGGTGTTGAAGTCCCCCAGAGCGATCGTGATGTTCTGCTTGCCGTGCTGCGTTCATGTTTTCCCAGCGTCGTCGAACAAAGTTTTTCGAGCATCGTAATACTTTCCCGCGTGCGGTGCATACACGCTCATAAGATTAGGAACTCCACCCATTACCTTGATCCTGAGAGTTGCAAGGCGGTCTCCCAACAAGCTGAAGCTGATCACAGAATGGATCGCTTTCGGGGCGATCATGAAACCCACGCCAGAGTAAAGATAGCTTGTAGTTTCTGTTCGAGCTCCAGATAGTATTACCAAGTACCCATCACGCAAATAATGCATCGATTCTGCAACGTGCGCCTCTTGCATACACAGAATACCGATCTCATTCATTTTCATGTGATGTTGGATCTCGGTCAGCGTGCTGTGGTCTTTACCGAGCCCTTGGACATTCCAAGTGGCAACCGCTTGTTTTCTCAAGGGTTTACAGCCGATTGCATCCATAGTTGTCCGCCCCCGATTGTTTCCAACGGTCTGCATGCATGTTGGCATCAATGATAACGCCGTCGTTGGAAGATATCGCTGAAGAAGGAGATGGTGAAACAAACGGGATGTAGGCAGCTTTGCCCTGTCCCGAGAAAGTTGGCGTAGCGGTGCGCCTGGGGTTGGCAGGCTGGCCGACGCCCTGCTGGTTCATGAACTGATGGATGGAGCCGTCGCGGCCGGAAGGCGTAGAAGAAACATCAGTAGATGGTTGGTCTTCGTTTGTCGCGTCACCGATGTGTAGGATACCATCGAAAATCTGACGTGGAAGAAAAATATGCGCAGATGATCCCATTGCGAAGGATAGATATTATCATTGCCCGGAAATCTACCTCTTTGCAGCCGCGTATCTTCTGTGTTGTCGGCTGCGGTGCTACTGCGCGTTAGCACCAGCCGCGCTTCTTACCGTGAAATGCCGTTGGATTCTCCTTTTGCTCCTCCTTTCCTCGCTTTAGTGGCCCTCGCCACGATGCCATCGTAGGATGTCTGGAGCTCTTGGAACTTGGGGTGCGCGTGCATATCGGCCCACTTGTCACAGTCATTCGCCCACGTCCATTTGATAGTATCCCCCTCGATGTGCAATGTCACCGCGAGTTCACCATCGACCTCAACTGAGGATTGGCCGTCGTCACAAACACGTATGGTATAGCCCATACCCATCGCGTCCTTCAGAAAGTACCTGGGACCAACACAAAACTTGCGTGCAGCCCTAACTAAAGGTGGACGATCTGGTGAAGCCCAGACGTTCTTCCTATTCCGCTCAATCTTAGCATTGTGGATGTTCTTCGCTGCCTTGTCCCCGTTGTCGGTCGTGTCGAATTCGCAAAATACAATTTTAAGGAATTCGCGTTTACAGTTTATGTTTGTCCAATCTGGGGCCCCCAGTCTCGAGAGTTCATTCTTCAACCAGTCAACCGCTTTCTCGAAGAGTCAAATCCGTCCAAATTGCCCACAACTGCTGTGGTGACCCTTTTATCTGTAGTGGCATTCCCAGCCGTGGCTGGGTATCCTGCTTGTGACGCTCCTGACATATATCTCGGAGTAGTTATCAAGTTCACGATGTCCTGCTTCATCTCTTCGAAAGCGCTTTCCATGTTAGTAGCGCGTTTTTGCAGGTCTTTAATGTCGTTTGCCACCGTGTCCTGTAATTGTTCGAGGTCTTTTCGCAAAGGGTCCACAGTATTATTGAGATCTTCCTGTGAGACGCCGTGCTGCTTGATGGCACGGATGTCACTCTTGATCGGCTCCAAATGTTTGTCCATAATGACTTCGAACGTAGCTGCGGTAAGTCCGGTACCCCCGACGCATCCATGAGATTGTCTTGAAATTGTTGTTGGCGTAGTCGTTTAAGTGAATCTGCCCTAGTGTCTGGAGCTTGAAATGCTGCCGGCTGAGCTGGTTCTGCTGGTTCCAAGTGCCCCTCGCCCAGCCCATCCATCTCGTCCAACGGGCTGTTGACCCGAGCGGTTTTTGCTGCAGGTGTAGCCGGTGACGTGGGAGAGGACGGCGAAGCCATGCTGTGTTTCTCTGCCGTGAACAGATGCTTGACAGGGGTACCTGAAGAAGGCGTGGAGGAGTCGAAGTGCAAAGTATGATCAGTATGGGAGGGCAGAAGACATGTAATCAGTAATTGTGAGAAGTGTCCCTGGTTACAGCAGGAAGTTCTGTTTAGAATCGTGGCGCACCCCTGGGAAAATGCGCACCCTTGAGCCGAAATGGCTACGGGAGGGGGATAAACTACCCCCCAGAGGAAGGCAATGTCTCTGTTGTTATTCCTTGTCCCGTTGTCTTTGCCTCGTCCTTCTACTATTCGGCTTCATCGTTATCCCCGTCTAGTTGACTGTTCATCCTGATCTGGCTTATCAACCTCGCTTCGACTTTTTATCCTCAACCTCTTCCTCTCCGCCACAGGCAAGGCTACCGCTGTTGGCGACAATGGTTGCCAATGCTGGCGTGGTCGTCGCCCGCTGCGAGGAGGTGGCTGGGTTGGCCAGGGGAGTGTAGGTGTGACACGGGGGTTAGTTTCTGATGCTTCTTCACCCTTTGCCCAGGTTCCATTGTCCCTGGGGCGTTCCTTCGAGCGCAGATTCAAGATAGGGCCATCGATTTGTCATGCAATCGATTTACATGCCTTGGGTGTGCCCGTCCCGCGCTGGGCTGATGATGCCGCCGTCGGGTCAGGATCCCAGGCACGGAGGGGACATTGGTTAAGGAATATGCCCAGGAGGCTTCATATCCTGAGGGATTCCTTGCCCGATGAAGGTGGCAGTGATGTCCATGGCCGATCCACGATTTGAGTTCCACCGGCTTCCCGACGCCCGATTTCCTATCCGGTGGTTCCTTACTGTCTGACCGAAGTAAAAGACGGAGGTAGGTTCGGGGAGGTTACCCTAGTGTTCTTCGTGTTTTTAGTATGTTCTTGTGTGTATCCTGGGTGATGGTACCCTCGAATGATCTGATGGTTTGGGGTGTTTTGGTCGGCCGAGGGTCTCATGCTGTTGAAGGACGCTTTTCTGTCCGTGGTCCGGCTGTATCTCATGTCTCCACTGTAGGCCAGCACGGTCCCGCTTGCCCGAAAACCAGCCTCTGCTCTCGCTGCGCCGCAGCGGGACGGCTGCGGCGCGGCTCTGAGTCCGCATTTTGGCAGCTCTCGATCAGGTGGTGGGGTCGAACGCCAGAGTTTCCGTACCCACCCCAACCTGGTCCAGCTCCTCGTTCTCTTTGTCTCGGAGACGAGACAACGGTATAAACATAACATTTTCGACGGTCCGCTGGGCCCACATAGCGGCGCCCCTGGCGCCGCCCCTGGCGCGTTCCGCGCGCCAGGGACGGGGGTCCAACGCATATCCAAGACGTCCGCGCGGAGCGCCGAAAGCTTATGTTTATGCTTGGTTTGACCCATCGATCCTCGTTCTCCATTGTCCTTCTTGTCTTTCCTCGAGCTTCGAGCTGCGGACTGTTGTGCTCCAGCTGAACCGGGGCCCTCGTGCGGCCTTCCCTTTATCCTCTATGCATCAGCATGCGTGTAAATGTGGGCTGGAGCTCTGGCCAGAAACCTTGTCCTCCTCAATCGCCTCCTGCCCCTCCCATCCCGGTTCGGGCCTGCAGAGGCCACCAGTCGGGCGGGCAGTACGTTTGGGCACCCCAGTGCGGTATTTTACTGACTGCCTTGGCCCAGCCTTTTCCCCGAGGCTATGGTTTTGAGTAGGCCAAGTCCTGAGACCCAGTCGAGTGAGGGTAGCGCTTCTGAGCACGTTCGACAGCGCGAAGACGAGCAAGCATTTCCGCAGTGGTCACCCAGCGTCGGTGTGTGCGTGCCTCTCCCATTGAACGCGCAATTGCTCTCATTGTATTGGTGATGCTCTGTTATTTCTCTGGCCTTCACTCCTTCGCTGTCTGTACATTTACATACACCTAGACACAAACATGTACATTTACACATACATGTACATTCACATGCACATTTACATGTACATACCTATAATACATATACATATACATACGCATATACATAACTCGATACACATACATCTAATACGGAAATACATTTACATACACATATACATATGTGTACGTATGTATGTATGTATGTATGTATGTATGTATGTTTGTATGTCTGTATGTCTACAGGTATGTATGTATGTGTATGTATGTATGTAGGTATGTACGTATGTATACGCATGCTGGGCCTTACTCGTCTCCTTGCTTCCCAGTCCCAGATACTGCCTGTGCTGGGAGGTATGTCAGGTATTGCTTATACAAGCGTTATATCTGTGACCAATGTCACCATATCTTCCCTCTCTTGCTGGTTACCCTCCTCCGTCTCTCGCCCTCTTCCTCATCCTTCGCCTGCCTCCTCTGGGATGAGCCCCCCCTTACCCCCAGCTCCAAGTGGCTCGAGTAATTTGTCAGGCTGCAGGCGCTACCCCTGTGCGTCCTCTCAAAGCTACGCCTCTGGCCTCACAGGGTGCGTGACTGAGCGGGGCAGCGAGTTTGCAATCGGCACGCATAGTAAGGATGGGCAAAGGGAGCCCTTGCATCCTTGCCTCCTCGGTCCATCTTTGGTACTTTCGTTGGCCGCGCCCCGCTTGAGAAACTTCGAAATCGCCTTCCAAGGCCCTTGCATCCTGATCGTGCGTCTTTTATTTCCAACCATCCTATGGTGTTGGGTCCTCGCTGTGGAGAGACAGCACCCCAAGTCATCCTCCTTCCTCCTTCCTCCTCCCCATCCTCCCTCCTCTCACCCTTGTCTCTGCTCTTTCGCGTGTCAATATCGGCACACCCCTCACACGGTTCGTGGCCCCATATGGAGCTTCGCCTGAAGGCCCCAGCTGCAGCGTCCGCATGCGCCCCCCCCCTTCCGCATGCCCAGTTCGGCACACCACTCACATGTTTCGTGGCCCCATAGGGCAGTCCACCGAAGGCCCTCGTGGCAGCGTTCACATGCGCCCTCCCCGCCCACCGCATGCCCATGTCGGCACACCCCTCGCACGGTTCGTGGCACCACCACAGGGAGCTCCACCGAAGGACCCACTGGCAGCGTCCACATGCGCCCTCCCCCCCCCCCCGCATGCCAATTTCGGCACACCACTCACATGTTTCGTGGCCCCATAGGGCAGTCCACCGAAAGCCGTCGTGACAGCGTTCACATGCGCCCTCCCCGCCCACCGCATGCCCATGTTGGCACACCACTCACGGTTCGTGGCACCACCACAGGGAGCTCCACCGAAGGACCCAGTGGCAGCGTCCACATGCGCCATCCCCCGCCTTCCCCGCCCACCGCATGCCCAGTTCGGCACACCACTCACGGTTCGTGGCCCCAGAGGGAGCTCCACCGAGTGCTCTGGCGTCGGCGTCCACATGCGCCCCCCCCCACCCCACATGCCGATTTCGGCACACCACTCACGCGGCTCGTGACCCCATATGGAGCTCCGCCTGAAGGCCCCAGTTGCAGCGTCCGCATGCGCCCACCCCGCCCGCCGCATGCTCATTTCGGCAAGCCTCTCACAAGGCTTGTGGCCCAGTCGGGAGCTGGGCCGAGGGTCCCATGACGCCGGAGGGGTTGCGGAAGCATCAGGAGCAGTTTGCGGCACGCACGAAGTGGTGCAGGAGGGAGGCGACGGCCCTCGCCAAAGAGCAAGGCTTCACCGAATTTATCCGTGAGGCCTGACCTGGGGAGCTGGCTCTCCCGAGCAGCGCCTTCTCTCGATTGTTCAACCGTTTGACCTCGCGCCGCAGGCGACCCGCGCGCGTCGCTGGAATCCTCTCGGGGCGACCAGCGCGCTTTTGCCCAGCGCTCCGTGCTGCGCTCTGCCCAGCGCCTCGCTCGCCCGTCGTCGCTCTGCCCAGCGGCCGGAGCTTCGCCCATTTTCTGCCAGCCAGCTAGCTGTCTTTGCTCCGCGCAGCGGGCGACACCAATGCCACGCCTACACCTGCATTCGACCCGCGGTCGAACAAACCCTACTCCAGGCGTTTTATCCCGCCCCATGGGATAACCAGTGTGCCATCTACCACTTCGCGGAGGGGGGGGAAATTCGTTACGTTTCCCCCTCCCCGGCAGACTCGGGACGTCCAGACCGTTACTCTACCGCATAGACCACCCTTCGGGTGATAAGGAGGCGAGGGGGGGGGACCACCGTCGCACTCGATCGATCTCACTATCGATCTCGCTATCGATCTCATTATCGATCTCATTCGATCAATATCACAATCGATCTGGCTATCGATCTCACACTCGATATCACTAACGATCTCACTATCGATATCACAATCGATCTCACAATAGATCTCACAATCGATCTGGTGATCGATCTCACGATCGATCTCACATTCGGTCTCACGATCGATCTCGCTACCGATATCACTATCGATCTCATACGATCGATCTCGCAATCGATCTCACAATCGATCTCACATTCGGTCTCACTATCGATCTCACTATCGATAGCACAATCGATCTCACAATCGATCTCACAATCGATCTGACTATCGATCTCACTATCGAACTCACTATCGAAGTCATGATCGACCACTCTTTCGATCTCACTGTCGATCTCACTATCGATATCACAATCAATATCACAATCGATCTCACATTCGGTTTCACTATCGATCGCACTATCGATCTCACTATCGATCTCACATTGGGTCTCACTATCGACCTCACTATCGATATCACGATCGATCTCACAATCGATCTCACATTCGGTCTCATTATCGAGCTTACTACCGAACCCACCATCATCACCACCATCATCGTCACCATCATCATCATCGTTGTCAACATCAGCATCATCGTCATCATCATCACATCATCATCATCATCATCATCATCATCATCACCGACGGGACACCGACGGGACACCGGCGGGACACCGCGGGCCCCCGGCCGCCCGGAAGGGAATCATTTCCTCCGGCCGCGCCTCAGCCACACGGGACACCAGCGGGACACCGGCGGGACACCGCGGGCCCCCGGCCGCCCGGAAGGGAGTCATTTGGTCCGGCCGCGCCTCAGCCACACGGGACACCAGCGGGACACCGGCGGGACACCGCGGGCCCCGGCCGCCCGGAAGGGAGTCATTTGGTCCGGCCGCGCCTCAGCCACACGGGACACCAGCGGGACACCGGCGGGACACCGCGGGCCCCCGGCCGCCCGGAAGGGAGACATTTGGTCCGGCCGCGCCTCAGCCACAGGAGACTTTCTCTCGCCCGCCCACGCAGCTTCGCCTCGCCCGCACGGCACGCACGAACACGAAACCGAAATCGATTTCCCGGTAGGGGGGTTCTCCGTTCCACTTCGATCTCACCCCCTCACCTCCGACAGAGCCGATGCAACACAGTGGCAGCGAATACAAATACAGCAACGCCCCAAAGACTCCTGCACCGGCTCCGCAGGAACTTCAGACGCAACGAAAATGTTACGAATTTCAGTGCCAGGAGCCCCTACGACAGCATCAGCGCTGGCGCCTATGCCGACAGGGCCAACGCCAGCACCAACGACGGCCTATCCAGCTCCCACGCCAGCACCAACGCCAGCAGCACCACGGGGACAAAGCTGACCAAGACAAGGGCGCCCGACCATGATTCCGCTGCCACTCCCAAGGCTTTCAAGAACCAGTCCCAGCACTAACTCCGAGTCCCCATCCCAAATCCCCTCCCCGCTAGCACCGACGGTGGCGCCTTTGACAGCACCGACGCCAACACCGACGCCAGCATCATCAACGCTTTCGCCGATACCGGCACCAACGCCAGCGACTACACCAGCGCCGACGTCAGCCCCTACGCCAGCACCAACGCCGGCGCCAACGCCAGCGCAAAGGCCAACGCCAACGCCTCGTCAAGCCCAAAGCCGATGTTGGAACGCCGTTCCAAAATCTCCCTCCCCGCTAACACCATTGCCGGCGCCTTCGCCAGCACCGACACCAGCACCGACACCAGCATCAACGCCTTCGGATCCGCTTGCACCAGCGTCAACGCCTACACCAGTGTTGACGTCAGCCCTACGCCAGCAACACTGGCCGTGCAACGACTCCCCCGACAGTCATCACAGGAGGAATGCTGTCCTGCGAACGTGGCCGAAACTCCCTCCCACGCCTCGGCACACAGCGGAGGGGGGGAAGAATATTCAGGAGCCGTGCCACAAGGCACACAGCGTTGGCACCATCCCAAGCGCTCACACCAGCGCCGACGCCAGCACTGAGGTCAGCATCAACGCCAACGCCTGCGCCAGCTCCAACGCCAGCGCCTACCCCAGCACCGACGCCAGCCCCGCCGCCAGCTCCAACGCCGCCGCCTGTGCAAGCGCCGGCGCCAGCACCATGATCACGATCACGGACGGGTACGACCATAGGCACGGCACCGAGTACCGCCTGCGATGGGGCCAACTCCATCGCCAGCGCCGACGCCAGCACCGACTCCAGCACGAACTTGCGCGCCTGCGCCGGCACCAACGCCAGCGCCTACACCAGCGCCGATGGCATCCCCGACGCCAGCACCAACGCCGCCGCCTCCATCAGCACCGACGCCAGCACAGACACCAGCACTGACGCCAGCACGAATGCAGGCGCCTGCGCTGGCACCAACGACAGCGCATACACCAGCACCAACGCCGACGCCTACACCAGCACCGTCGTCAGCACCGGCACAGACGCCGACGCGTACGCCAGCACCGACGCTGGCACCGACGCCAGCATTGAACGCCTGCGATTTCGCCAGAACCAACGCCGGCGACTACACCGCCGTCGACGCCAGCACTGACGCCAGCAAGAACGCTGGCGCCTGCGCCAGCACCAACGCCAGCGCCTAATGCAGCACCGCCACCAGACCGTAGCGCACTGGTTAGCTGTCCAGCTAACCAGTGCGCACAGGCGCTAGCACCAACGAATGCGCCTGCGCCGCCACCAACGCCAGCGCCTACGCCAGAGCCAGTGTCAGCCACTGCGCCAACATCAATGCCGGCGCATACGCCAGCACCAACGCCGGCGCCTACACCAGCACCGCCGCCAGGCCGCAGCGCACCGGTGAGCTGCCCAGCTAACCGGTGCGCAAACTATCTGCAACGCCGACGCCTACACCGATGCCAGCACCGACGCCTGCACGAACAGGGCGATGGCACTGGCACCAACACCAGCGCCTACACCAGCGCCGACGCCAGCACGGACGCCAGCACGAACTCCGGTGCCAGCGTCGGCACCAACGTCAGCGCTTACACGAGCACGCTGCTCGACGGGCTCCTGCATTACTGCGGTCACCAGCACGACGGGAACATGCTCTCACAACTCGGACGTCCACTGCGACCCGCGCATCGGGTACCAACAGCACGACGCGGTCCACCCAGCTCCCACAGCCGCAGCAGCCAGGGCAGCCCCAGGACGGATGGGGCTCTCAACTTGGCCTTCTTGGGCTTGGCGTCTGGGTCTGGGGTGTCTTGGGATTTTCGGTGGGGGCTTCCTTGGTTCGTCTCCTGGGGTTGTTTCTGTTCGCCTCCAGGTTCTGCCCTTTAGGACCTATGCTGACCATGCACCAGGGTTTGCACGACTGGCGCTACTAGCTGCGCCACAAGGACTTCGAACATCGCGTTGAGGCCATGCGGCACGCCCTCGAGAAGCACGACCGGATGCGCTGGGGGGCGCCGGGGAGGATCGAAGTGAAAGCTTGCTGATTGGCGCGCCACTCCGGGCCCGCTGGGCATTTTCCTTCGCTTTTCGGCGGTGATGCTGGCCAAATCTGGCCACACGGCGCACTGTAGATGCTCTGTCTTCTCTTCCTCCCTCCTCCTCCTCCTGTTGCACGTGAGGTATTTCGTGAAGCTTTCTTATGCATGTTAATTCGGCCTCCCCGCGGCCGCGGTCAGTCGACCCCGGGCCTCCCTGCGCGGGCTTGGCTCTCTGCCGCCCCTGGGGTGTCCGCCTGCATCAGGCGCTGCGGTGCCTCCTGTCGCCAACTAGCCGCCAGTTCAGTACTTGTCTGTACAGGCCACCGCTGTCCTGGGCGGGTGTCCTGCCTGCACTGCTGCCTGCACATGGAGCCTGTCGGCTGTGAGTGTGCCTTTTCCCGTCTGTTCTTCTTACCTTTCTCTGCCTTCCTCCTTCCGCCCTCCTCCCCCGCTCGCGTGGGACCTCTGTGCGGGTACCCCAGGCTAGGCCCTGGATGGTCTACGCATTCGCGAGCTTATGTTTTCCTTTCTGGTTGTCCTCCTCCTCCTCCTCCTCCACCATTCGCCAGTGGTTTATGACTTCTGGCCATGGCCAAAGCTTTAAGCGGCGATCGCTCGTAGCAGCCATTGCTGGCGCACTCGCTGCTCACGCGTTATCTTCCTCTTCCCCGCTCCGCCTCTTCTCCCTCTCCCGGCGCGTTTGGTTCACCTCAGGCATTCAATGTTGCTGGTGCGCCTCGGGCATACAATTTTCGTGAGGCGCTTCTGGCGAGCTTGTGAATGAGGTGTTGCGGTGTATTAAAAAAATGCTCCGCGCAGCGGACGACCCGCACGGGTCGCTGGGACCCCTTCGGGGCGACCGGACCGCGTCTCGGGGACTCCGCGTTGCGCTGCGCCCGCAGCCTTGCGCTTTGGAGCGCGCGGGCAAACAGGAAGAAAAAGCAGGGGGGCCATTTTGGACGGTCTAGCTTCCCTCGTGCCCCCCTATCATGGAACGGATCACGGACGGAGGAAAAACCCGCCGAAAACCGTATAGTAAACTCCAGCGAAGGCCCCACTGGCAGCGTCCGCGTGCCGCTGCCCTTCCACTTCGGCACACCCGCCACACGTTTCGTGCTCCCACAAGGAGTACCACCGAGTATGATATTCACGACAGCGGTACTCACAACTGCGTACGGTTGGTTCCTTCGCCAGGCTATTCGTGCGGGTTGACGTTGTGCCCGTAAGACGCAGCACGCCCCTTTTCTGGCAGCTGCCGTGGCCGAGCCCTGGCTTGTTGTTTCTGAAACCCGCGCCCCTCGACGCGCGCGGGGCCGAGGACGTGAGGGCGCTGCAGCAGAGGGCGAAGGGCATGACAGTGGACGACGCAGAGCGGCAAGCTGCCAGCACCCTCCAGCGCATACGAGGCGGGCCGCATAAGTCAGAGGGACAAAAAAGGTATTCCTACTGCTGCGTACCCTGTGCCCGTTTTCCTTTTTTTTCGGGCCCCCCATACGATGGCCTCGTCGCCACCGCTGGATTCGTTTCGAAATTTTGATCCGAACGCACCCCGAGAGAGGTTTGGGGAGTAGCGGTATCGGTATGTTTGTCTTCCCTTGTGTGTCGTCGCCTTTCTGCGCGCTCCATGCCCGAATCACGGCATCTTTTCCAGCCAATCGAGAATTTCGCGTGTGTTCTGCACGCTGGCCTCTGCCCACAGTGATTGTTTTGTCCTCGTCCTCTATCGCTTTGCTTTTGCTCGTTGCCCACACGTGGTGCACAGTAGGCGGGATATCGCTGAACCCCGAAAAACGCATGAGTAAGATGGTTCGCCCCCTGGACAAGATATGGGTGGCCTAAAACACCTGCTTTGGCACCTAGATGCGCCCCTTATGTCACTTGCTTGCATTCGTCGCCGTCATGGTATGCGCGACAAGGATCTGGCTACTTCTGTCGGGGCGAGTTCCATGCCAGCCTGATTCCACCTCGGGCCTGCGAGCCGTAACATCTTGCGCGTTTGGATCGCAGCGGCTTCACGTCGCCCTCCCCTTGCACGTCCCCATCTGCTCGCCAGCAGGCAATCGGGCTGCAGCTTTGTGATGTGGGGCCGCCAGCGAGAACGTGAGCAGGGAAATGCTCCAGCAATTGGCCGCGGACTTGCCTGCATCCCATTCCCTGACCGATCCGGCAGTACTTCGAGCACTCTTTGCCTGCTACACTCTTTCAGGGCAATGGCCTGGCGTTCGGATCGTGGTACCGTTTGGCACCTTCCCGCAAGGCCCCCGTACAGGGCCCTGATCGGCAAGCCTTGGGCCGAGAGCTCGACCACGGACCGCCCGCAACGGGCCATTTCGGGCACGCCGTTCGCCTGGCCCGATCCATCGGTGTAGACGCGCGCCCCAAACCGAAGGTGAGTGGCCCCTCCAGGAAAAAAAGGCAACACCGCTGAGACTGGCTCTGCGTAATTCGACGGGGAGGACGGGTAACCCGTAAACCAACTCAACCGAGTCAACGTCGGGGGAAATACCCTTTTAGCAGCTGCCTTCTCTCCACGCAGTCGTCTGGCAGGGCAGGGGCCGCCTCTCGGGCGTCCACTTGCCACCAAGCCTCTTCGCATTTGTACCAGTGGTGGCCGAAGGTGCCAACAGGTTGCCCGCAGAAGTGGCACTTGCCACATTCGGCCAAGCCGGCCTGGAATTCGTGTGCTGGCGACGAGAGCCCTCCTCCAAGCGATGTCCTCAAAGTGGCATGTCGCACTAATCCGATACGCAGCGCTCGACCCCAGACGACTTCCTCGCCCGAAACCTCGGGGATGGCCGACACCAGCTGTATCATCTGAACCCTAAAAATGCCGTCCTCCAGGAGAGGTTTCACATCACAGGGCAAAACCCCTAAAATGGACATCACCTCGCCCTTGTCAGACCGAATCAGGTGAGGGCCCACCAGGTCCCAACCAACGCGTTTCATACTCAGAATGACGGCTCGGACGGGGCCCCGAACTTGGGTGGGTCCAGACCGGATGGGGGGGACGCTTCTTAGAAGGAGGTTGCTTCTTAGAAGGCGCGGGCCATACATCTACAGATGAGGCCCACGCCTTCTGAGAAGCAGCCTGCTTCTAAGAAGCCTTGCCCCCTCCCCTGCTTCCCTGCGCGCGCCGACAGAGCAGGCGAAAACGTCGAAGCGCAAACATTATTTGGGGGAAATGGTGCGGTGATGAGGCTGGAGTGCTGGTTTGCACTCGTGTGTAGCACACGCGAAACGTGCACAAGTACACAAGGGGTCCACAGCCGATTGCGTGATTCCTTGCCCTCCCCCTCCTCCGTAGCCATTTTGGCTCAAGGCGCGGGCGCCCGTGGCCGATGCGCGCGCCCGCCGGCCGCAGCCGCCCCGCGCGCGCGGTCCCTCTGGCGGCGGCGCGCGTCGCGCGGTCGCGGGGCGGGCCCTGGCAGCCTAAGAGCTGTGGCGATGGAGAAGCCAGACGCCGACGCCTCCTTCAGCGAACCTGCTGCAGCGCGCGGCCGCTGATCACGACCGTGAGGTCTTGGAGCTGCGCGCAGAGGTTCGGCGCCAGCAGGGCGGCGCTGCCTCGCCCGCGACGCCGCTCGTCGCGACGTCGCACGGCGCGCCTCGGTGCCCACGACCTTCGGCGACCGCAGGGCCGCCCAGGCCGCGGGCGCCGGCGCAGGCCGCGCGCCAGGGGAGAGGCTGGAGGCCATCGAAGACACCCTCCAGCAAATCCTGGCCAACATGGCGCTTCAGAGGGTGCCCCAGGAGGCGCGCGCGACCTGGCGCTCCAGCGTCATGAGCGCGTGCAGCACATCGACCGGTGGTGGCTTCGAAAGCACCTTCGGGAACCTCTTGGAGACCGAGCAGATACTGTCCCTGCCAAAGAACTGGCCGATGTCGGTGAAGCTCAGGAGTGGGTTCCAGACAGAGGGTACCGGCAAAAGTATGAGGAAGTACCTGAGCCGCAAGCCGACCCTCAGGCAGATCCACGCGCTGACCTTCATCCGCAGTGCTTCCGAGGATACCCAGGACGACCGCTTGCCGGCGAAGGGCCTGCTCCGCCTGGCAGCCCGGAGGTTGATGATGTCGCCGTCGTCCAAGCGGCGGGTGTTGTTGGACCTGCTGGGGGTCATCATGCTTGCGACCGACCTGGCGTCTTTTGGCCACCTCATCACGACTCGTATCACTCCAGTCTTTCCCGCCCTAGCAGCAATGGGGCGCAAGCAGCAAACCCGTCGTCGCACCCGAAGTAGCAGCACAGGAAGTGACTCCAGGGGCATTGGCTCCTCTCTTTCGCGGTCGACGCCAAAGACACCGATCGGGGGTATGGCGACACCACTGTTTTCCTCGCCGCCGTCATTTTTTTGATCCCCTTAGATGCCAACCGGTCATGGGTAAGTGAGCTGTTCCAGACCGTCCGCGACAGCAGCGCCACGATTGCCAGGATGGAGCAGTCGATGCAACAGGACATCATCCAAGTGCGCTCGGCTCTCTCCACCTTCGACCAGAATGTCCAGCTGATCTCGGCCCGCATAGACAAGCTCGAGAACGGCGGGCTCGCGACGGTGATCTCGCAGGCAGTCGACCCCGCAGTCTCGACGAACATCGAGAATATACAGGCGAAGCTCCCTGCCATCGTCTCCCCTCCGCCGCTTCTTCCGAGCTCTACCGCGCGATCTGGCCAGCGCCTGGCGGCGATGGAGCGCGCGCGCAGGGTCGTGATCATCGGCTCCCCTCGCAAGATGATGAAGACTTCGCTCACCATAGCCGCAGAGTTGTTCCTCCAAGCAGGTGCTCCTCTCGCTTCCGCACAGCCCGTCGTCCGAGCTTTCGACATGACACGGAAGGTAGCGCTCGACTTCCCCGACTCCCTGAAGGCCGCCGACTTCCTCACTGGGGAAGCATAAGCGATGGCAGGGCTGTTCTCGGCCGCCTGGGCATGGGCAAGATGATGGGCTACGGAGGTGTCGGACGGACGGCGCGGGCTATTGGCGGAGCAGGTGTCTGTCCCAACGCGTGGGACCACGGGCATGCCGATATTGAAGCTGTCGGCGGGGGCGACCCCCTACCTCGAGAACGCGGCGGGCCTCGCGCTGAGGGCGGACGACGAGATCGACTGGGACAGGCGCCACCAGACACGGAGCTACTGCGACCCAGGTTGGAAGCACAAGAGGAACCGCCTGGACATGAGCCCGCGCATGCGTGAGGGGGACATTCTGACGTGCGTCGGCAACATCTGGGAGCGCGTGAGCGTGTTCACGGTCGTGAGGAGCCTGAGCAAGGACGACGAGTGTCAGGTGGGGCCATCGCGACTCGTCTGGGACTGCAGACGTCTCAACTTGAAGTTTCGGAAGCCACCGTGGACGGGACTGGGGTCACCGAGTGCGCTGTGTTCATTGGATTTGTCTCCCGGCGTTCTAGGCGCGAAGGAACTCTTCTCGCTCGCGGGGGACATTCCAGATTGGTTTTGCAGGCTGAGGTGGAACAAGAAGTTAGCGGAGTACTGTGTGCTGGATGATCTCCCCCCAATGGAGCTGTGGAAGTATTCTGGCGAAGTGGGGGGGCAGATCGAGGAGCCCTCGCCGGCGAGCGTGGGTGTTGGAGCCATCGCCCCCGTGAAGGGTCATTCCTGGGCTGTGTCCTTGGCCCACTCCTGCCTCGCCGTGTGCCTCGGGGGCGCGCGGGGCTGCGAGATGGAGGGGCTGGCGCGCGGTCGGCCGACGCCGTCCTTCGAGGGGGCGTCTCTGATCCTCGTGCTCTACGCCGACGACTGCGTCGGCTACAGGATCTTGGAGTCGGGGGGCGGCGACGCTCATATATACGAGGACATCGCGAGGGGCGCGCTGGAGGCAGAGGGGCTGGAGGCGCACAGGGAGGACTGGGGGCGCGGGGCGACGAAGGGACTGGGTTTGACCATCCGTGGCCGCCCGCGCACCGCCACGGCGCAGCCCGAGAAGATGAAGGAGTTAGTTCTGGCGACGGAGGTCACCGTGATAGCTGGGAGCACCGCGCCATCACGTCTGTCTTCTTTGTTGGGGATGTGGACTTCGCCTCTTGTGATATCTCGATCTGGCTTCGCAATCCTCAACTCGATCTACCAATGGGCCCAGGGCCACGTGACCGACGAGCGGGGGGGGAATCTGACGATGCCCCAGGGCGTCGTGTCGGAGCTGATGGCCCTCTCGCGCCGTTCGGCCTACTTTACCTCTAACCCCGATGCCGACTGGAACCCCGAGGCCTTCATGGCGGACGCGCCCGAGGAGGGCTACGGCATCGCGCAGACGGAGGCGACCTCGGCCGAGCGTCGTCGGGAGGTGAGCAAGCGGGACCACCAGGTCTGGGCAGCGAGGGCTGAGGAGGCTTTTTGGGGAGATCGAGGAGGAGGTCGAGATGGCGGGTCAGGAGGGCGGCGAGGTAGTCC